CACTATGGGTTGGAACCAACTTGATGGCAATTAACAACAACAACATTGTCAGATATAGTGCTAGAAGATGAGCTCCTCAGGTTGGAAGGCATTCAAAATATAACTATAGAAGAGCTGTCTCCTCAAAGTAGAGCTGACCATGATGATACAAATGGAATAAAGCTTCCAGGACCTTCATTTGCTGATGGAATTCAATTCAAAATGAGAAGAAATAGCTATGTTGTTGTTGTTAAGTGCTGTTGAGTTGGTTCTGATCCACAGCGACTCTGTGTAGGGTTTCCAAGGAGTGACTGGTGAGCTTGAACCACCAACCTTGTGGTTCAAAATGACTTTGCAGTCCAGTACAATGAACCCACAATGCCACACCAGAAGTCCAGAAACACCTATACACATCCATTCATAATCAGAAAATGGAATGTACTAAGAATGAATCTAGAAAAATTGAATGGTGTCAAAAATGAAATGGAACATATAAAGATTGATATCCTAGGCATTAGTGTACTGAAATGAAATGGACTGACCACTTTTATATTTACAAATTTACAATCATATGGTTTTCTATGCCAGGAATGACAATTTCAAGAAGAATGACATAGCATTCATTATCAAAAAGAACATTTCAACATCTATCTTGAAGTAGAATCCTGTGTGTGATAGGATAATATCCATACGCCTACAAGGAAGGCCAATTAATACCACTATTATTCAAATTTGCAAACCAACCACTAAAAAGTCAGTGATGATGAAAAATTCAGTCTGAAATTGATCACACATGCAATCAAGATGAATTGATGATTACTGGTAATAGGAAACAAAGAGTTAAGTGGCAGTAGTTGGAATATATAACTTTGGTGATAGAAATGATGCAGGAGATCACATGGTAGAATTTTGTAAGACCAATGACTTAATCATTGCAAATACCTTTATTAAACAACATAAAAGATGACTATACACATGAACCTCACCAGATGGAATACATAAAAATCAAATTGACTACATCTGTGGAAAGAAATGGTGGAAAAGTTCAATATTATCAACCAAGACAAGGCCAGAGGCAGACTGTAGAACAATCCATCAATTACTCACATGCAAATTCAGGCTGAAGCTGAAGAAAATGAAAACAAGTCTACAAGAATCAAAATATGACCTTGAACATATCCTATCTGAATTTAGAGACCATCTCAAGAACAGATTCATGCACTAGACACTAATGACTGAAGACCAGAAGAGTTGTGGGATGACATCAAGAACATCAAATAGGAAAAAAGCAAAAGGTAATTTAAAAGACAGGAAAGAATGAAAAGACAAAAATGGATGTAAGAGAGGCTAGTGGTAGGGTGGCGTATTGCCACGCCCTCCTTCTCATTACCCCTGCCCCATCCTGGGAGCCCTGCTCACGCCATCTTGCAACACTCCCCCTTCACCCTACTGAGTTACCTTTTCCCTTTCAGTACTCTGCCCCTCTCCTGTCCCGCCCCTTTCTGAGCTGCTGCAGCAGACACCGCACCTTCTCCATCCCCACATTCTTCACACGGGACCCACAGCCATGCCTACAAGTGTCATTAAAGCAGAGATGAATAATACCGCAGCTAGGCCAATGTCCACTGCTACTTCAAGTAGTGGAAGAAGTACAGGCAAGTCCATAAGCTTTGCAGTTGAATTACAGAGTACGATGATCCCAGGACCATCAAGATGGAAGAGCTTGAACAAAGCATGAGATCCTTATCTAGAAAAGCATTGACAGAAGAGATGGTGGCAGAAGCAGTGGCATGGAGAGACAGAGCAGCTGCGGACTCCATGCCCATGGATTGAGTAAGGCTATGTGCCTGCAGGCAGGAGGCTGCCTTGTAGAATATGCCCTTAGGCCACATAAATGAATATATGTGCTTTGTTTTGTATGTGTACATCAAATATTTTTGCTTTGTTCTTTGTGAAATATAAGATGTTAATGAGGGGCCAGCATATGCAGAATCAGTTTAACCCAGATGCTCTCCTTCCTCCTGAAAGTATATAGGAATATTAAGAACAATGTAGCATTTTAGGTATAGATAAATGAAGCCCTGTGCCTGAGATCTTGCTCACAAACAAAAGTTTGCAAAGTGTACAGAGACTGCTTGGCTCCTTTCAGGAACCTTGCTTTATGTTATGTATCCTTAAGAAACCGTACGTTGCTACTCTAGATCATTTAAGCCTAAAAGTTAATATATAACAGCTTGATTGAACCATTTTTTCTGTAAAAATAAAAATGTTAGGTTGTTAAGAAAAACTATGAAAATATCTTAAAAGTTGTTCCTGTGAATCATTATGTCCTGTTTTGAATGATTAATCACATTTCAGTTCCATATCCTGTCTTAATCACATCCTCCCTTTGTGACATCCTCCCTGAGTGAATTACATCCTTCCTTTGTAACAAATCCCTCACTAAAAAAGAGAATAAAAGGCTGAGGTAGAGTGAATTCTGCAATGCAATGCTGGCAATGCTAGGCAATGTTTGCCGATCTGTCTACCTGCCAGCTTGCATCATATCTATGTGTTTGTCTTTTTTGTATATATTTCGTCTCTCTCTTTCTTTATCACTTTTGCCGCCAGATCTCCCTTCTTTGTGATACCCACACTTTCTTGTCGAGGCGGGACCCCGACACAGGACTTCGACAACAAGGTACGAAGTAGGATAACTGTTTTTGCAGGGAGGGGATTGTAATCACTGAGATGAAATAAAGTGTATAATTTGTTGAATGTAGAACTGATGATCTTGTCTGTAAACCTTCTCTCAATTCACAATAAAAATAAAAAAATAAGAACAACAACAACAAAAACCCAAACAAAATGAATGTAAGAAAGAGGCTGAAAACTGCTCTCGAGCATAAAGATGTTAAAGAAAATGGAAGAAATGAAGAAGTAAAAGAGCTGAACCCAAAATTTCAAAGGCAGTTTGAGAAGACAAAGTCAAGTATTACACTGAAATGTGCAGAGATCTAGAGTTAGAAAAACAAAACGCAACCACATGCTTAGCATTTGTCATGCCGAAAGAACTGAAAAAAAATTTTCAAGCCTCGACTTGTACTACTGAAGGATTTTACAGGCAAAATACTGAATGATACAGAAAGCATAAAAAGAACGTGGAAGGTACACACAGAGTCACGGTACCAAAAATAAATGGTTGATATTCAACCATTTCAAGAAATAGTTAGTATATGATCAAGAACAGATGGTACACAGATGGTACTGAAGGAAAAAGTGTAAAGTTGTACCGAAGGCATTGGTGAAAAACAAGGTTCTGGGAGTTGATGGAATACAAATTGAAATCTTTCAACAAACTGATGCAGCACTGGAGGCACTCACTCATCTATGCCAAGAAATTTGGAAGACAACTACCTGGCCAACTGATTGGAAGACATCCATATCTGTGCTCATTCTAAAGAAATGGAATGCTGAAATCATCTAAATCATTAACATCACAAGCAAGTAAAATTTTGCTGAAGATAAAAAATGGCAGTGCATCGACAAGGGCATTGTCAGAAATTAAAGCCAGATTCAGAAGGAGATATGGAATTAGGAATATCACTGCTGATGTCAGATGGATCTTGGCTAAAAGCAAAGAATACCATAAAGATGTTTACTTATGCTTTACTGACTGTGTGGATCATGACAAACTATGGACAACATTG